GGGGAGATGCTGGAATGTTGTTTTGCTTTTTTCTTTTTTACCCTGAGTGTCAGAAAAAGAAGGGGGAGGTCTCATTAAAATCTCCCCCCCCAAGAAAGACACATGATTTATTTCTCCCTGAACAATCGATGTTTCCCGTGCTGCAGAAAGGCTGAATATTAATTCCAGCAAATGAGCCCCTTCTCTTTGAGCTGCCAGGGTTTGTTCTTAGACCTGAGCCCCCCAGCACTGAGTGAGGGCCGTGGTTTGGCACAGCCTGGCTCAGCCTGAGAGCAAATGTTTGTGTGCTTTCTGCAGTGGCAGCGTTTGGCTGGGGGAAAGTATCTGGATTTGAATGATAGCAAAGGCCGGGCAACTTGTTCTCACACCAAGAGGTGACATTTTACCATTTTCTTTTTCTTCTCAAGTGGTTTCTGTGTTGAAAACATGACAAATGTACGCGTTCGGAGCACTTGAAGGTGTCTAAGTTGGAGTCTAGGAGGTTGTAATGACTTGACCTTTAAAAAAAGAGAAAAGAATGGGGGAGGGGGGAGTAAGGGAGTGGAATTAAATCCCCAAAATGCTTTGTGTAAGTTGATATCCAAAGTCCTAATTTATGAGCAGGCAGGAAGGAGGACAGAGTCTGATATGAACAGTCTGCTCCTTTCACAACCTGTTTCGATTCCTTGGTGGGAGTGGCCTGGCTGCTGGAGAAGGTGTCACCTGCAAGAACCAAGCCCTTGAGGGAATAAGTCAATACAAGCTTCTAGAAGGCTCCCATCAGTGATAACTTCACTGACTGTTTTCATCACTGCACTTATTCCTGTCCCCCTATGCCAAAATGTGTGCAAAAATGTTCGTGCCTGGCTTTCTGTGGTCAAGCCCCACGGGAGAAAAGGAAGAGGACTGCAACCTGGAGAGGGATGTGGGTGTGAGAAGACCTGAATAAAGCAGGAATAATCCTTGCTGTGGCTGTTTTAAGTAGAGCTCTGCCCTCTCCTCTGAAGCGACTGGTGGAGCAGGGCATGGCAGCTTGGTGTTGCCAAGCTGTGCTTCCAGCAGCCTGTGTAGGAAGATAATCGTAAGAGCTCTTTCAGACTTAGCAAAGGCAGCTTAATAGTAACTAAACAGCAGGATAATTAAAATGATGTCACCACTGACTCTCAGGTTGCCTACCCTGCAAGTGGAAACCTGCAGGGGCCAGAAGAGCAGAGGTTGGAGGGGAAAGGCTGACTCATCTGTTAACTTGGTTTTAAGTGGAAGAAATAATGTTTAAAGCTTAAACCAAAACTTGAGCATGTCACTGTTTAACTGAAGCTTGGAAAAATCATTGCCCCAAAGGCACTTCTGTGGAGTCAGACCCTGTGGATCTCCTGTTCTCATGCAATGCTGGATGATGATGCAGTCAGTACCTGGGGCAGAGTCTGCACCCTGGTGTTCTAAAAACCCACTCACTGCTGTGGTGTGAACTCAGACTCATTCTGGTGTGATGGGCAGAACTTGGCTCTCATTTCCAGAGCCTTCAGTGGTGCTTGTGCTGTTCAGCTGCTGTGCTTGGGGAGGGCGAGGATCATGCAGTGACTTGGCTTTAGAGGATTGAAGGAGGGTTTCATGTAAAGTGTGGACCTTACTCCAGCAGCATTTAGAGATGGTGAAAGGTAGTGAGGTGACAACCCTGATGGCTTTTCTAACCTACTTGCCCTCAGCACGTTCAGAAGTGCCTATGAAAGCACCCCTTCAGTGCCTTGTTGTGCCTGACACTGAAATAAGCCACTTCTCCAGTTTAGCTTTGCAGTTGTTGAAGCCCAGCTCCACCCTTCAGGAGAAGCCAGTGTTGCTGCTCTCCCATGAGCCAGACTGGGAGATCAGGAGTGCTGATTTCCACAGCCAACACAACTGTAGTGGTAGAAAGATGCTGTGACAGAAATTACTCTTCTGTCCTATATGATAATAGGAGCTGTTTCCCAAATGGCATATGGATAGGGCACAGAGGCTCTAAGAGCTGGTGTCCTCTCCCATGCCCTCCCTCAATCATGGTCTACATTGATTGGCAAAGGTTTTCCCTCCAGTGTTGCAGTGAGCTCCCTGTTCAAGTACTGCCCTCTAAATCCAGCTTCAAAGTCTTCTGGAGACTCTGAAGGATCCCCATCTGCTAGAGGAGCCCTCCACTGGGAATTTGGCGCTGTAGACAAGACATTCTTCCCCCTTTACTTCTCTGCTCTTTGTGTCCTTCCTGTGTGCTGTCCCCTCCCCCAGCAGTGATGGAGCGAGTGAAGGGTCTGCAGGTGTGGGGGGATTTGTCTGTGTGCCTTTGCTAATGTGAGATGAGCAGGGAAGGGCATTGCTGTGCGGTCCCTGCATCCGGCAGGAGGGCTTAGGAGAAGCGAGTGGGCTGGGAGCGTATCTGTACCTTCCACGTGGCTCCTCCGAGTCTCTTGAATGAAATGCGTCCAATTAGCAGCCCCGGAGGATTGAGGAAACGGGATTAGTCAGGTTCTGGCTGTGTCCCAGGGGCCGGTGAGTCACCCCACCTTTCCCTCCTCCCCACCCTGCAGCCTCCAGCGCTGAGCTCCATCACGGCTGCAGTTTTCTCCCAGGCAGGTTTAGCTGTGCAGAGACTTCAGGTGAAGAAAGGTGTCCGGGGAAGGATGTCACCAGTTCACTGCCCAGCTGGGCTCTGGGGACCTCAGCTCCAGCTTGCCGTTAGGGCTGGCTCGGCAGAGCTCTGACTGGGGGGAAGGAGGGAGTTTATTTTACTGCCTGTGTGGACACAGGGATGTGGAGAGTGGAAAAGAGGTAACAGGGAAGGGTCAGCTGGGGTCTGAATCCTGACATGACCGGCCAAGGCGGGCTCTGTCACAGGCTGGGAAAGTAGGAGTAAAAGTAACCGGACCATCTGCCCCTTTGTGGGAGTTTATCAAGAGCAGGGCTGTGACATGTGGCTTCAGTCGCACCTCTGAGGACAAGGAGGGGAAGAGGAGGGGGTGGAGAGCGAACCCATCTGTCCCCCCTCTGTCTGACAAGGCAGCTCCTGAACATACAGGATAACAGCTGGCAGGGAGTGAGGGAAATACATCTCATGGAGCGGGCGGTTGATACCAACAACTAGATGGAATAGTTTTTCTCTCATCCTTTGTTTTTGGAGGTTATTTAGCTGGGTTTCTCTCAAACAAGAGAGACAGTGGGCTGTGAATGGGAAGCAGGACTGCCGGGAAATGCACTGCCCCATCTCTCTGGCTTCTCACAGTGCTTCTCTGATGGACTTTGCAGCACCTGGGGCTGCCTAATTCCTGTGTGAGTAGCTGGGTCCTTCCCTACTTAGCCATGCCTTTTATTCAGGCTCTGCCTTTGGTAACCAAGGCACTGAGACAGGGGGGTCACATAATTTATAATATAAATATAAATTGCAGAGAGGCAAAGAGGTAAAGCTTAACACAAACCAGAACGTCGATGGACACTCTGACTTGAACAAAGACAGCTCTGAAAAATTTGGAGAAGGGGTAGGATGTATGGGGAGGTCACACCGAGGGGCACAGAGACTGTTTAGCTACTGGAACGCCTTACCTTACCCCCTAGGCAGGGTGACACTTCTGCAGGTGTTTGATCAAAAGGTTTGCCTTCAAAGGAGAGGCTCTTGCCCTGTGCTTTGGGGTGATTTTGGGGAAGCTGATAAAAAGCCATATGCTGGCTGTGTTCTTTGCTAGTTTGCTTCCTGTCTGTACCTCTCTTCCCAACCTCATCCCCAGGTCTCCCCGAGGTGTGTTTGTCCCAGCTTTTGTGGATGTACAGGGAAAGGGAGGGACCCCACAGCCAGTATTTAGATGTTTGGACTAGGAAACACCTTGGGGACAGGCAGGAGGAACATGAGAGAATGTAAACCATGAGCCTTTGCAGAGTGGTAGGAAGGGGCAGGTGTCTCTAGTGGGGCACTGGAAGCCTCGTCCCTGGTGTTGGGACCAGGTCTCTCTGGCACAGCTTTCTACCTCACACAGATGACATCTAAAAGGACTTCAGCTTGGAAAGGTGCCCGTGTACTGTGTGTTGGCTTCAGTGTGACGAGATCTGGAAAAGGTCTGCCCCACAACACCCCCTTTGAGTGCTGCACCAGGTGCTGGCCTCCCTCCTTGGTTAGCTCGGGGTGCCCTGTGGTTTTCAGCACGTGGCTTGGCCACACTGGGTCAGACTGACTCACTTCAGATGGGAACAGACTAGTTCAGCCATGAACACCTTTACTGTGTGAATAAGATAATATCTTCAACATGCTGCTCTCTGAGATCCCCGGTAATTCAGTCTGTTTTCACTTCACTCATACTTTCCTTATGACTGGCATTAGAGGAAAAGAACCCACCCAGTGTTTACCACCTCCTTTCCCAGCAAAGTGTGCCCGTTCTTCCCTTCACTTCCTCCTGGGAGAAAGGTAACATAATAGCTTCTCTTGTCCTGAGGGCAGGTCTGGCTGGCACAGCCCACACCTTCCTCGACCTTCGCTCCAGAGCCCTTCAGGGAGAGCGCTGACCAAAGAGCAAAGCAGCTCCATGAAAAAAACAGCAGGTGAAGATTCCTGGCAGTTAAAAAGGGGAAGGATTTTCGGGTCATAAAGCTTGAAAGTTCCTCATGTGTCTGGTTTTATTGCCCAGGGAAAAAACCGACGGGCAAAAAACCGACGAGGTACCGTCGGTCACGGTGCGGATGTGCTGCCACAGCGGGTGCAGGCTGACAGAACCTGGGGTGAACGTACACAGAGGCTCTGATCTGGGGATCGTTCAGTGAATCGAAAGGAACATGCTGCATCTGATGATGCCAAAGGTGCTGGTGTTGCACACCTGCCTGCTTTGATCGCCAGAGGTGAGTGAAGGGCTGTGTGTTCTCTGCAGGGTGTAGGCTGAAGGACTGGCTGTACTTTTAAACACCTGCAAGTGTGATGTGTGTGCACTGGGTGCACCTGTGAGTGCCTGCCTGGCTTAGAAAATCCTGTGCAGGTGACACAGTTTTGCTGTGTGGCTGTGTGTGAGGGTGAATTTCTGTTCTGGGTGTATCGTGGGTGGCTGCTGCTGTTGAGACCATAAGCATGGTAACAAATTCCTTTGAACTGTTTGATGTTTTTAATTCTTTATAGTAAATCCATCTACAGTAACCAGTTCCTTCATGTTTGACAAAGTGCTGAACAATGTGTGTCCCCACAGAGCCCGGCACAGGCTGTTGGTGTAATCCCTGCTTTTAGCTGATCTGTGCTGTCTTTTCTCCAGTCTTTACAATGAGCGAGGTTATTTCCTAACCTCCAACTGTTAAAGCTGCGTATACAACACACAGGCATTTAATTTTCCCTCTCTTAACTTCGTGTAAAGCGTTTGTTATTTTGAGGAAGCTGCGTGAGCAACTCTGCTCTCCCTGAGCTGCTCTTTCACAGCTCCTCGCTCCGCAGAGCTCTGCACGTTGTGTTTCTTAGTCCTGTCTAAAACCCTCTGTGTGGGGTTCCCCCAAGGCCATGCAGACTGTGAGGCACAAGAGCAGCATGAGGAAATGAAAACGTGAAAATCTGCTCATTGGCGTGAAAAGCAACAAAGCTGGTGTTAGCAGCAGTAGTTTTGAGAATTTTTCGCAGTCCCTTGAAGCAGTGCGATTATTATCTGCCTGATTTTGCTTGAAATATTTAGAATTAGCATCAAAATGAACCAATTCTTGAAAGCGTCTTGCTTGCCAAACAATACAGCCCACCGGAGGCAGACAGAACTGGACCGAAAGGCCAAGTCTGGGTGAGACTTCTGACCCCAAGATCTCTGTCTGCTGTGTGCTTCTGGGATATCAGCACAGCCATCAAAGTTTGCAGATTTCTTATAAATACATGACGTTGTGATTCAAAGGCTCAAGTTCTGAATGAAGACGCTCTATTGACAAGCTGCTTAGGAACCCCAGTCGGGCCAAGAGGCATCACTGGGCAGTGTTGATAGGGGGTTTTACTCTTCCAGGGTGAATATTCCCCTTGGAAATCCTCTTTGTCCTTTATCTCTTTTCCATTCATCCTCTTTGGGGGCCCAGTGGTGACAGAGTCCTCCCATGCACAGTGGAAAGCAGCAGCAGTACCCAGCGTCTTGTAGGCTGGGGGCAGTGTAGGAGCAGAGCCCTGCAGTGAGAAAGGGAGACATCTGGGCTCTTGGAGGTGGAAATCTCTTGTCCATGTGCTTCTCCAAGAGCTGCCTGAAGCTGCTGCCTTCTTCATCCACCTACAGACCTGAAGTCTTTGAGCTGTGGGCGCTTCAGAGCGCCCTAGTGAACAGCCACAGTGACCCGCGGTGACCGTGGGGAAAAGTCCTCCAGGAACTGAGTCTGCTGGGTGGATTCTGGTGCCAGTTTCAGACACACGCTGGCCTCTGTCATGCTGTTGTTGTTGGCAGAGCTGCTGTTGCGACAGGGCTCTTTTGCAGGGCGGATGGCCACCAAGAACTGGCGCTTGAAGGTCTCGCTGAGGGCGATGTAGAGGAAGGGGTTGAGGCAGCTGTTGGCGTAGCCCAAGCTAATGGCAAAGTTGTAGGCGTAAAAGAAGGCCATGGATGGCGTGTCAATGCCGAGGTGAACCAGCTGGAGGATGTAGAAGGGAGCCCAGCAAATAAAAAAGGCGGAACAGATGGCAACTGCCATGCGGGTCACCTTCTTTGTACGTGCCCGGAGACTCCTCTGGGGCAGCGGGACCACGGTGGTGGCCATGTGCTGGAGGATCTTAAAATACACCACACAGATGATGATCAAGGGCACAGCAAATGCCAGCGTGAACTGATAGAGCGTGAACCAGTAGATATCAGTCTCTGGGTTGGGAAGCAAGAGGGCACAGCGGACGGTCCCGTCCTCCAGGGGCATGAGACCCGCGTACATCCACACGGGAATGATGGTCAGGAAGGAGAGGAGCCACACCAAGCAGATAACTAGAGCTGCCACGCACGGGGTCCGGACGTAGGTAGATTTTAGGGGGTAAACAGTGGCCAGGTAGCGGTCCAGCGTCATCACCGTGAGGATGTTGGTGCTGGTGATCTGGCTGTTCATGTCCAGGGCGGTGATGATGGTGCACAGGGGAGCTCCAAAGTACCACGAGCCATTGCCTAGGAGCTGGTGGATGAGGAAGGGCATGCCCAGGAGGAAGAGGAGGTCCACAATGGAGAGGTTGAAGATGAAAATGTCGGGCACGGTCTGTTTGCACCTCAGCTTCTTCTTCTTAATGATAGTGTAGATGACAATGAGGTTCCCCACAATGCCCAAGAAGCAGATGATGCTGAAGAGACTGGGCATGATCACGTTGGTGTATGGTACTGGCTTCTCTGCTGCTGCCAAAACAAACCAAAGCAGTGAGTGCAACCCACAGGCAACCCCTTTACAACTCTGTGTGCTTGCCCTGTCCTGCAGCTGGACCCATCCCCATCAAAGATGTAGCTCTGAATGGTTTTGAATACCCTTTGCAGAATTTGGAGAGACTTATCTGGGGATCTGACTCTTTCCTCTGTGCCACTCAGTACATGCAGCACACCACCTAAATCTGGCCATGTGTGAGCACCTTTCCTCAGCTTCTGTCCTGCTCTGAAACTCCCCTGCCTTTTTGGGAAGATTTATATCAGGCTGGCATGCCTTTGTACTCACCAGTGTCTGACAGAGTTGATAGCAACTTTTATTGCAGGGAGTGCTGAGTTTTCAGCCATTTTTTGAGGGGAGAGGATGAAGCAGCTGGTGCCTCACGCATTGGAGAAGTAAAGCCTCTCAGTGGGTGCCAAAACGTGGATAAAGTCAATGCTCAAGCTGTTGTCAGAAAGTGTCAGCTCATCTGTTGGGTAGTTTATCTATTGTATAGGATGAGACATGGAGTTCACTGACTGTGCAGGCAGACAGCTAATGCTTGTCTGTGTTGTGAGATGTGGGACTGTACCCTGGCTCAGTCCCAAGTCTGTTGTCAGAGTTAGGCCAAAACAGGCTCTCCTTTCCATCTTCCTCTGCCTCTCTCCCTTTCTCTAGTTTCTTCCCTAGAAAGAAATCTAGGTGTGTGGCCAGACAGGGATTTTGGAGTATGTTTCAGAGTGGCCCTTCCACAAGGCATGTCCTAATTCTGCAAGGAGAAAAAAAAAGCTTAAAACTGCTGTCTCAGAGTTCTGCATGGAGGTGGATTTCCAAGGCAAAATTCTTGCCTGATAACACATAGCGCTGATGGTTGACTGTTGCTCTGTGGGGTGGGAGGCCCCAAGGTAACCAAATTCACATTTACCTTGTCCCCAGTGTGGCTGTAAAACCCCATTTTGAAGCCCCAGGCTCCTGGGCAGAGAAGGTGGTGTCAAAGGCAGTGATGGTGGTGCCCTCTGCTCTGCAGGGCTCCCATGTGCACTGCGTGGTGGAGTCTGAGATCACCCTTCTCAGCTGAGGCAAATCTCACTTCATCTCATTACTCCTCTCCTATGGGGCCTGGTGGGCTTTTTTTCCAGGAAAAGGCTTTGTGTGAGTTATTTATGTGGCTGTTACAAGAGCACGTGTCACAGCCCCTCAGCTTAGACTGCATGTTGTTGAATTGCAGATGAGTCAATGTGTGTTAATTGGAAATGCTTTTAGTCACTGAACTATTCCATCTCCTCAGCAGCTGAAGTGGGCAAGTCTCCTCCAACAGAACCTGGGGAAATCTTGAAAATAAGATTAGGTGGAATTACAGTTACTCATAGGTGTAGTCTTTGCTAAAGCAGTGTCTCTTTGAGGTGGTATTTGCTGACTTTGTACTCAAGAATTCCAGAGGTCAAGCTTCTCCACATTTACTGTGGTGTGACAGAGAAGTTTGTCTCAACTGGCAAGATAACTGGGGCTGCAGTGGTGGCCTGTGGCTGGAAAAGTGTGTGCTGTGTCAGCTGTGTGTAGTATTTCAGTGCTTTTAGAAGTGGGCCACGATGAGTTGCCACTGGCTCAGTCCTGCTGGCATTGGAAAGCAGTCAGCTTAGGCATAAGCAAGGCCAAGGCCAGAACCCAACAGAGCAGTTGCTGCACCATTTTATTGGGAAGCCTCTCTGCAGGTGTCAGAAAGCATCCAATGAGGCACAGGAGGGCCGGCAGGGGCCTGAAGGTGGAAGCCAGGCTTGGCAGGTAATACAAAAAAGCCTGTCCAGATCATTTTGGGGGGTTTAAATAGTCCCCATTCCTCTTGCTAATTCATTAATCAAGGAAATGTCCCCTGTTATGAGGTTTTTAGTAGATAACATATAGCTCTCAGCACCCTATTGAAACCTGATACTTTTCAGCATCCAACCTGCATCCCTTGAGCATCCCAACAGATCTCACACCTTAATGCTGGAAGAGGGCAGACTAGAAACTGGAAGATGATGGCTGTGATCCTGCTGTTCTGCATGGAGCTGTTGTGAGCTCTGGTCTCCTTTCTTGTAACTGCAAACTTTGTTATGAATGTGGTGGGAATGGATTGTATGAGTGATGAAACATAACATAACTGCAACTTGGTTAGCTGGAAACTGGGACAAAATGTCCTGCAGTATAATCAATACAGTGCTCATGGTGATTCTGTTACACTTGGAATGAGCTCAGCTGGCCTTAAAGCAGGAGGTGTGCAAGCCCAAAGGCTTCCTGTGGAAAGTGGTCTGTGCAGTGCTGTAGCACAGTCCTGCTGGTGGTGTCTGCACAAACAGGACCTTCAAGCATTATCAGCTGCAAGCTAGTGTGTTTTATAGGCTGGAGTCAGAAGAGCACATCTATCAAATACTCAAAACTTATCTCTTTTCTAAAGCCTCTTTCAGATTCAATGGCATCTCAGGATGAATTTCCTCTCTTGCTTCTGTGCACATCCCAGTGAATACACTTCACTGAAACAGCCGCTTCAAGCACTGATTTGTAGATCTGTCTCTGCTCTGATACTCCCTCTAGAAGTCCCAAAGGGGACTGAACTATGTGAACTGAATGGGGACTGGGCTAAATTTCTTTCCTCTAAGGTGGTGGTTGTTCTTACCCCTACCCCTACATAAGAGACTATATCTTCAATGCGTTTCAGAAGGAAGCAGCTCAGGCACGCTTTGGGTCTCTAAAGGATGTGTGCTGGTGCAGAGAGAGTCAAAGACCACGTATAAACCACCTTCCCTTGAAGAGTTTCAACTTGCACCATCAGGAACTGACTTGCTTGACCCTAAACAATTGATTTGGGAACAGGGTAAGCCTGGAGAAAACGGGAGACTGGTGAAGATCTCCACGTCCCTCTCCAGCGGCATCTCAGGTTCTCTGTGCTTTGCTCCCTCCCTGTCTAGCGGGGCTGGTCCATCCCTCCTCAGCAGTCAGAACCAGAGGGCTGTTGGAGTTGCTGCTGCCTGACAGCCAACAGGTAGCAGCGGATGGCTCCGACCCGCCGGGGCCGGCGGCGGTGCCGGGATGGGTCCGGTGCCGCTCCCGCAGCCCCGGAGGGGTCAGCCCGTCCCGCCCGGAGCTGTCCGCCCCCGGGTGCTGAAGGCGGCCCGGGTGGGGTGCGGGGGGTCCCTTCCTCAGCCCCCACCATCACTCCCAGCCCCGCGCAGCCCCCGCGCTCACCTGAGCCGTTCCGAGCCTCCGGAGCGGAGAAGTTGCGGGAGGAGTTGGCGGGGGCCATGGCAGCGAGTCCCGGGACGGAGAAGGAAAGTTGGGCAAGTTCCCTGGGCGGGTCCGCGGTGGGATGGGATGGGATGGGATGGGATGGGATGCGCTTTCCTCGTCGGGCCGGGCAGGGTGCGGGAGGGAGGAGCGCTCCCGCAGCCGGCGAGTGGGGGCTGCGGCTCGGCTGAGCTCCGTTCCGCTCCCGCCGAGCCCAGAGCAGGTTCTGACATCAAGGAGCAGCTGACTCCGGCAGACACGCCGGGTGGGAGCATCCCTCTCCGCCGTCGGTGGGAGGGAACGCGGGTGCGGAGCGGGGCCGGGGGGGCTGCTCTCGGCCGGCGGGGAGGGGAGGGGGGGCCGGCACGGAGGATGGCCAGCGCCCCCTCCCATCACACCCCCGAGGGGAGGGCTGGGATCTGCACCCTCACAGCAACAGCCAGCCCGTGCTCGCTGTGTCTGTAGGAGTATCAGCTTTTTGTCCTTTTAATAGTTCTGATCTGCCTTCAGTGTGTATTTTGCTCTCTTGTAGACACATGCACTTTTCATCCCCGAGTCACAGACACCAAATTACCCACTGAAAACTCTTGCTTTGACCCTCTGATCCCTCTAATTTCAATTCTAACCTGAGACGCTTCATTTGTAATTAGTTCTCTGCTGCTTTTTGCTGTTCCACTTCTTGCCACAGCTCATTTGCTTCCTAGCTCCAGAAATTAGCTCTATTGCTAGCTCAGATTTTATTTGTCTTCTATTTGCCTTAAAAATACTAGGCAAGAACCCCCTTGGGATTTGAGAAGCTGTTTTGCTCTTTTTCCTTGTGTTGCCAGAGCAGTAGCCTGTTTTTTCTGTGTCTTTGAGCTGATGGTTTTGTTGTGCTTCCTGCCCACTGTTTATACATGAGATGAGTTCCTTCATTATAGCTTGATAAATCACATGGTACTGGGGCAAACAGATCGTTCTGTACCTCGGAACATCTCCTGCACTGTAAAAGCATAACATCATGTCAGAAGTCTGTGAGAAAACCATCAGCAACAGGCGGGTGTCTCTCTGTGGCAGAGCACAGCGTAGGGGATTGGATTTGCTTCATAAAAACTACAACCGTCTGTCTGGAAGTATCCCTTGTTTCTGTCTCCTGCTCTGTAGTTGCAAAGGCTGGCATCAAATGTAAGAGACAGTTTTTTTGGAGCTTTGTAAGTCTATCATTTAAGACCAGAGCCGATCTGTACCAGTAAAAACCAGACCCAGCACACACAGAGCAGCCATCCCAGCACAGGCTGTCAGCCAGATTTGGCAGCAGCATTTTCAGTACGGGCCATTTTCTTTGTAACCCAAAGGACTTCATCATTATTAGGTTGTCCTCTAGTGAACCAGCAGCAGACAGAAACCTGGAGCACACTTTGCCCAGGCATTGTAGCTCTTAGGAATCAGAGACAGGCTGGGGCCAATTTGTCTGCTATGCTGGAAAGTTTTTGCTGAGTCTCTGGAGTTGCTGCAGTCAGTGATTTGCCCATGAATTTTTTTCCCTGGCAGGTATCTGCACTGTCTCAGTTTTGGATGTGCAAAAAAGTGGTATTTTTCAATCTCTTAGTATTTTCTCAAAAGCCTCTTCTTCCTTCACATCTTAGGTGCATGTCAGGTTTTATCTGTATTGGGTTACTGCTGCAAAGCAAGCTGTGGTTTGTGTGCTGGGGTGATGGAGTGCTGTGAACAGGGTGCTGTCCTCTGCAGCGAGTGCCTTTGTGTAATTTAGCTTAATCAGTTCTTGAAGTACGGATTACGAGTGTTTGCATGGGAAACTGGTAGGCAGTTGCTATTCCAAACATTTTTCCCTGCGTAGACAAACACCTACTCAACTTTCCCTGGAGAGGAGCGAGCTATCTTGCAGCTTTCAAAGAAAGAATCTGACATTTAAATGTAGCAGTTTCCAAATCATGACTTTAATTTTCATTTGCGATGTCAGCTATCGCTGTGCACTTAGAAACGCTTCACACATGAGGAAGCTGTAGTTCCTTCTTCTCAGCTGTAGAGGCATAACAAACCACAGCAGCTCCCTCCCTGGTGCACACGTGTCACAGCTGACATGTCAAAGCCGTGCTCAGCATCTGAGATTTGCCCCACCACCACAGCTACGAGACTGCTTTATTACTGGACTTTTATATTCAGACTTTAACAAAGTTTATTTTTTTTCCCTTTTTGCTCTGTCAATAACCTGTGGAAGTTCTTGCCCCGGGGAGAGGCTGGTCTTACAGAGGTTTTGCCGAGTTGAAGGGATAGAGAGAGGGGAGGAATATGAACTGCAGCAAGTGGTGATGTGTGGCCTGTCTGTGCACAGAGCTCGCCATCGGCAGGAGCAGGCACAGTAATCGGCTCATTATCTGGCTGAACACTTGAAGACAGCAGCTCTCTGAAGGACTGGTTCTGTGAGTGCTCATCTGCTGGAAACTGCAGCAGGGATGAGCTCTCAGGGGACCTTGGGATATAGCCGATGAGTTGTGCTAACCACTGCATGTAATTAGAAGGAAGATTGAGGCACTAACCCCTTGAAAACACATCTTAAAAGAGAGATATAGTAATTAACATTTAGGCAGGGAACTGGCATCTCAACAGCCTAACGATGTAGATAAAGGTGAGGAAATGGAGCTCAGCCCTTAAACATAAAAGAAAGAAAAATGACTTCTTCTTGCAAACTTGGCATCACCACTGCACTCAGACCATCCTGTCTGCAACACCGCTGCTATGAAAAAAGATAATAATCATCCAAAGCTGCTGCTAGGCAAATTCTGCAACTAGGGAATGAATCTGGCTAGTCTAACAGTGGTTTAACCCTGAAAGGCTCTTGCATTTCAGTAATATTTCCTGTGCCTGTCCCAGCTGGAGATCCTGACTTACGCAACGCGAGCAGAACCGCAGGGTCCCGTGGGGCAGAGAGCAGCGCCGGCTTCTGTTACCGCGCTACTGAAACCATTTCCCCCGCTGGTTTCACCAAATAATTTCCCATTAAATGGAGACTTTCTCATTTGCTAAATATTTATTTAGCACCTGGCCACTGCTCTGATTTGCACTCTGGAGAGAGGAGCCTTCTCTAAGAGCCAAATTGCAAATCCTCCCCTCTAACTCACTGCTCTCCTTACTCACCACCCCAGACTTACTGAATGGGCCTCTGCATTTTTATTGCTTAGCCCATTGTCTGCGTTTATATTGATCAAATAGCCTAATGGGTGAAGTTTTGTCCTTGTATTGGCCTTAGGGATAAGGATGATCACATTCAGGGATGTGTTAGACATGGTGCATCGACCCTCCGTACTGGCTCAGTACTGTCTTTGTCCGATAGCTGCACATCAGTCTCTCTCCTTCCTAGGCAAGACTGGTAAAGTAGTTTCCAACTACTGTTCCACTTTGCCTCCCTTGATTCTGGAAAGTGGATCTTTGCTATCATTTCTCACCTACAGGGAAGGAGAATGTCATGTGGCGAAGTTAAATAATTTCCCTAAAGCTATATGCTGAGCTTGAGGCCAAAAATTGTCAGTAATTCTCTCTACAGCAGCCCTGGCTTAGGCAGCATCTTATCCATCTTCCTGCAATGTTTGCTTATCCCAGCACAACTGTTTACATCCTTACAGAGGGATGTGTCCTGGATGTGACCATTCAATTTTTAAAAACCCAAACCACAGAAAACCTCGAAGTTGGAGGAGTAGCTTGGTGGTGACTCAGGTGCTGTCACTGATTGAGATGTGCACAGCTGGTATGGTCTGGCTGGTTAGAAAGAAGTTGCTGCTGTGTCTTGGTGCCTGACTCGATTCAGGTCAGTGCTACCATGTGATCCTGGTCTTAGTGAACACTGGGCCATGAGCAAGCTCCTGGTTTCCCAACTGCTGAGCTCTGCTTTCTCTTTTACATGAGTATCTCTGATCAAGGCAGCAGGTGAATTCCCTTTTTTGGCTGCTCAATAACCACACATGGCTTTACAGGAATAATTTACCTTAACAGTCATCTAAACTCTCCTGTTACCCACTCTGAATTTCTAATTAATTAGCATAAAGTGGGCATTTATCTGAAACCAGATGACCACCTCCTGTCTCCCCGCAGGTTCCTGCCCTTGAAATGACAGGTCTAAGCTGCCTGGTCAGTCCTGGCTCATTCCAGTCCCACGCCACTAATTTGAGGTTTTAGCCCTCAGCCTCTGCCCATCCTGGCTGCTCACAGCAAGCCAAAGGCCAGGGCAGCACCTTCTGTGGTTTTGTTTTCATTGCTAAAGGTTAGAGCATCCCAGAGACAAAAGCACAGCCAAAAATAACAAGGGGCTAAGCAGAGCTTGCCCTGTGATGAGGAAGCAGGCGGGCTCCAGGGCTGTGTGCAGCCGGTGTGCTGAGGTCAGGGATGTGGATGTGCCCTCCATGGAACGGGCAGATCCCGTTGTCAGAGATAAGGAGGTGCCGGCAGCTCCTGACGTTGGACAGGAACAGCCAGAAGCCCCCAGGGAGACAAATGCTGCCACAGGGTATATATATGGTGTTAGTCACTGATTCCCTTCCACGAGAACAGGCATTAGCACAAGGAAGAGGCAGCTGTAACCTGAATTCCTCATGAGTCTGAACTGGGGGCTGAGGGGGAAGTTTTGGCTCGGATCTGTAGCTTGGGGGTAACTGTGCACGGGGCTCAAGAGGAGGCAGAGCAGGAGGATTGATGTGGGGAGTTGCTGGCTGAGAATAGATGTCTGCCCACCACAAAATGAGTGTTCTGCCATCCCTCTTTTCAATGAGAATTAGGATGTTGTTGAGCTTGGAAATGGAAATTACAGATCCAAGATGAGGCAAAACTAAAAATCCTGAGAGGTTCAAGTCAGGGAGACGAGATAAAACTCCATTCGGTGTCTGGAAAGAGCTGTCACATGAAATTGCAAATCCAAGTGCAAGGATTTATGACAGACCTATTAAAAAAAAAGGTGGTGTTTTATAACCAGAGGCTGCAATCCTGCTGCCTAGTTCTGAGCAGGGGCAGTGGGGAGGAAAGCGGTGATAGCTGATTGTGGAGCTGTGG